TTCAAAGATAATAAACGTTGCCAGACACGAAAAACAGATATACATTGATTGAGTGCATCCATTTTACTTACAGAAAACTGCACTGACGATGCCGGTTTGATGAAGTCCTCAGTAATTGGTGAGGCAAGCAAATTCTTTATCCATTATCCCAACCACGATCCTCTTGGTCCAGTGTCCTGTGAGCCTTACAACTTCAGTCTGTCGCTTTGCAGATGCAATGCCCCTGGTACGTACTTTTTTGAAAAATATCTTAAAGATTTATTTGAAATTAAGAAAAATATTAATCCAAATAACCTCAGACAAATAGACCAAAAAAGATTCAAATTTGGGCTATATAACAAGAGGACCAAATATTTGGGAAAACAAACCATGGCACATGCCAAATTGCTTATTTTTGGTTCTTCTTTTCAGAATATGATGGCGTCAACTTCGGCTTCGAGGGCAGCTTCCATGCTGCAGGCAACATTGCGGTCTGTCTACCTAACGCTCGTCGCAGCGTGTATTTCGTCAACGAGTCCCGGGTTGGAGACCAGTCCGTGTACCTTGATGGCATGGGTAAATAATGGTTCTGTTAACTTTTTAAATATTGACAACACTGTTAAAGCATGTTGTTCTGTGACACCGTTGCGTATATAATCTAATATTAAGGACGGTTAAACATAATTCTAGATAGATTAGCGTATTAATCTTTTTATTTTATAACATTTGCTGCCTCATACTCTACATTATACCTTGTGTCTGTCTGTAAAAAGCATGCACCTTACGTTGATTTTTTGACCGAACAACAACGAACCGACTTTTTCAGGGCACATCGAGTGTCCCCTTTTCAAACAAAACAGCCCAAGGGCACCATTTAGTGTCGCTCTGTGGGTCTATGTGGATCCCATCGTCAGTGATCAAAGAAAAGTGGCTTTGGTCAACAATGCCAAGTGTAACATCGCACCTACCTTTGAGTTGAGCGTCCAGGGTGGAGTGGTAGAAGTAAACATTGTGACAGACAACGGGACTTTCTCAGCAAGCGGACAGTTGGTAAGTCAGACCATGGTGGTCTGGTAGCATTGTGCTTTGTTAAAACACTTTTGACCAACAGTAAAAATATATTATATTATATGATTCAATAATAAATAACATAAGTACATATTTGAAGCTCAGTGCTTCTCTGTGTGGAATACCCCAAATTAGTGTGTTCGAAATGGGATATTGGCTGCTTCAATACAACGTTTTCTGTTGGCTTCAGGGCGGAGCTTACCAGGGTGAGTGGCACCAGTACCGTGCCTCTTACAATGGCGCCATCCTTTCACTAGACCTTGACGGTTCTATGGCCTCTGAGGTCCCTGCAGACGGTAAGTTTAATAACTGAAATACCGTTTGCTGTAACAGATATTCATCTGTAATAATGTTCTTCCCTTTGTTTTCTTTTAATATTTATTATTTATTTGCCAGTTTTTATTACTTAATTTATGTTTTATACTTACATGACTTTAAAAGATTTAGGAAAACAACGTCTATTCTGAAAATTGTTTGGGGCAAGTATTTTAATTTTCGAATCCTGACTTTTTCTGCTGCTGTTCATATTGTTTGCCACGATGCTCGGTTACATAGTGAAGTTTGATTGCAAAAATATGGCATAACTCTAGGTGATTTGTTGAGCAATGAGGCCGCATGGGTCGTTGGCTTGAACTGTTATCAAGATACCCAGCAAGGGGCACCTACATCTTCTCTCACTGGAAATGTGGACCAGGTAAGCATTTCCTAATAGACCATTAACTATCTTTAGTGTCACGTCTCAGCAGAAACTAAATGTTTCCTATTTTTAATACATCAAATACTGATTAGTTAGCGAGATAGAAATGCAAATCATTATGCTTATCATTTTCTTTCAAAACCACAGTGTGCAATGTAAAAGTCTCTGTCCCTTTTTCAATTCCAGCTTGAAATCAGCTTCAAAGAATACATAAGGCCTTAGAGAAACACAGGTTTATTGACCAGACATGCAGGATATTTATGCTAGATATATTGCACTGGTATTTCTTTATCTGGAACGACTATTTCACAAGTAACAGACGTGTTGTTGATGACGGACAGCGGGCACATGCATTCTGATGTGACCCAACACGAGAGCTACCCAATGCACTTTCTTTGGAGGATATTAAACCCCTCACGTATGACTCAGTATTTTGACATTCGTCATACTTCAGGATGTGCGTGGAAGACATATTCAATGCTTTTAGACTTTATTAATAGTGCACCGAAGCGTTCAATGCTTAACCACCAGATTTCCAAACCCGTCTAGACAATTGACTTACTAATAGGTGTTTAAAGCCGACTTTTTAATGAAGAACTGCTTACTGAATTTGTTAATTGTACATTAAATAACGACATTAAGCCAAATGGCACTATGTTTCGCCTTTTTCATTGCAATTCTTTTCTAATTATGTGGTTTCAGTTCAAATAAATATGCAAACAGGGGTCTTCAAATCGTGTAATTAAGCGACTCGTCTAATTGCTCTAACCAAGGCGTTATTGAAGGGCGGCAGACTGCGTTGCCCTTGCCAGGTTAATGTGCAGAATTTGGGTGAAAATGATCGACTTAAGTGCTATTCGAGGATTCCGATGTCACATGGGCGTTGTCTTCATATTAAAGCTTCTAGTAGCGGGGGATGGGGGGGGGGCATTTTACAGCAGTATCATCTCATTTTGAATTATTAATTTCCCGTATATATCGTGTTTCACATGTTCATTTGTTCAATTTACCTGTTGTGATATTTTGTTGCAAATCGCTTGTTCCCTTTTGCGTTCAGAATTGACATTTCCTTTCACATTTAACTTTTTAAAAAGAATATCCAGAATTGTACTGTCTAGGTCGCGTTTAAGGTACAAAATTCTTCAGCATTCGGTGTGTAATTTTCCTCAATACTTCACCAAAGACTAATTATGTAACCATAGGTGCAGCTCTGGGCAAATCAGTTTTTTTTTTTTTACCTTAATGGCTTGGTTCTCTTTTTAAACACATATAACTGTACATGTATTTCGATTGGGTCATACATTACCATAAATAGGGCCTGAATGAAAATTAGATTGATAAATAAACGAATACATACAAAACTAAGTCAATAAATGGATTAAAAAAATCAATTTATGAATAAAATCGTAAAAAATTCTCTTCCTGCTGAAGCATTTCAAAGCCTTCAAACACACCTTTAGTATTCTAGCAGCACTATATGCGTGAGAAAGGTTATGAAGTAGATATTAGTCTTCATGTTTGTTTTAATTCAGCCTATGTTAAGTGTTTTCTTTATATCAGCAATCTGTGATTCTACCTTTTGTTTATAAATTTGGTAAAAAAAATTGGTTTCACATATCTTAATTCAGTGTACACACTTTGCTTCCTTGATGCCTGCACCGTGCATGTTAAAGAATAATATAAGAATAACATATTTATTTTAAGTCTTAAATACATAAAATGTACAGTAGACTTTACATTATATAAAATTTATTTAAGTCCAAGGATAAGAGTGATTTTAAGAGATATATTCAAAATTTAAGTTTGACTACTAAAATAACGTTCGCAGCCTCCCAAACCTTTCAGACTACACCTTTGGTCTCTAACATTCAATGTTACTCATGTAATGTTGCCCTGTCGTTTCATGCTAATGCACATATAACATGTTCAATATTTGTCGACCAATGTTCATTCATGAATCTTATGGAGGTGAGGGCAAAATTACCCCTGTTACGGATCAACAGCCATTTTCAGGCATCGTCTTCGGGGAAAGACTGAGGAAAGAAAAGTCTTTTAAAATATTTGGAATTTTGTTTGTATTTCTAGTGTGACTGAGATTAATGGACTGTTATACTAGATAAGACTTATAGGCCTACTAATGAAAATTTTTAAAGAGAGAGAGAGAGAGGGAAAGAGAGAACTGATGTCGGCCGCCGAAATTTGGGACTAAAGCCAGACAAAATTGAAAATTAAAATGTTGTTTAACTAGCGCGCCAGCCTTAATTGTAAGTAAATTAGATTTTTTTTTCTTTAATGTAGGCCTACAGGGTATTGCAATGGTTTGGTAAGTGAGATATAATTAGAATTGACCCCTGAAAAAACTTTATGCAGTTGTTTTTATGCTCTAAAGTAAATTACACTGTGGATTTTGAAAATAAAAAAAGGCCAACCATGAAATTTAGCTGCTGTGCTCGTTTGCATGTTTTAAGAACAATATTTCGTGCTTGGCCTAACGGTGACTCTTTGCTCGACAATGAATGTTATTTAAAAATGCGCTAGTTGAGACGGCTGACACTTCCTGTTTATCGGGGACTGGAATGCGTCCAGCGATTTGTGTGACCGATAGCCCTACCGATAGTATACCTTTCATATCAGAGTTACTCGCCCCAGGCACAAGGGTAAGTGTTCCGCTTTCGATAAGTCTGTAAAAATATACTATAATTGGACCTCGAACACTGCTAGTAGGACCCTACTTCTGGTGTAGTGTAGCTGACCCCAATACGCAATCACTTTGAATACGGAAAAAGTTGAAGATAACAACGGATGCTTGTTAAGCGTGCTAGACTCACTATTAAGATGTTGGAATACAATTTTATATCAATCACAAGAATATAATTCACTGTACTAAGTCATGATTAGAATGGAAAAGACGTAGCAGAAAGTGTAAGTTGATGTATAGAATGATAAACAAAGATTTGAGTCCCTATTAGGATGAGTTATCAGTACTTTCAGTGTACCAGGGAAACTCAGACGAATGTACATATTTTGGCAGGATACATTGACCTTTATTTACAGCATTGTTACTACTTTCACTGATAGGTGCAATGCAGTCAAACCAGTCAGCACTTGGTCCTCCAAGGAGGATGAACACCAGCAATGCACGTCCACTGTTTGCCAGCCGTGCACTGATCTTTCTCTCAATGTCACAGATCGTCTTAGGGGTGTTGTCTATAGTCTTTGGTATTGTGTGCATTGTGATACAAGCTGCAGTTGCTGATTCTGTTGGCTCTGGCATTTGGTGTGGGGTGTTGGTAAGTAACTTGAAAGTATGTGCTTTGACATTTGACTGAATTATTTACATTTGTCATATTGACCCTTGGCTGTCACCTAGATTGGTTAGAAATGATTGTCGTAAAATTGCCACATTATTTAAAATATTTTATTGACTCTATAGGAGCCTATGGGGATTTAATGACAGTCGTTTTGAATACTTTTTTTTTTACTTTATGGTAGACTGTATGGCACTCTAAGATTGTTTTATGTGGTTTTAAACGTTATGCCCATTTTTTAAATCATGTAGCAATTTTTACAACAAATGTTTCTAACCAATCAAGTTGACAGCCAAGAGCCATTACGGTCCCCTAGCTGCTTGAGTAGGCATATCAGACAATGAGGCTGATTCCACTGATTGCACTTTAGCGAGAATCCCCTGCAGAAATGGACGAACCCAGCTGGTGTGAATCTGAATGTAGTCTAAGACGACATTTTGTAAAAAGTTGAAAAGGCCCATTATCTGCTTGGACAGTGCTACAAGTACTTGCAAAGTTGGTCNCATTTAAAGTTTTATTTTGTTTTTAACTGTCTGAAAGAATAGTTTGAGATTCTAATAACAAGAAAACTGTGAAATTTGAAGCAGCAAATGAAATTAAGTGAAAATGTACTTTCAAAGATTGGTAGATATTTTTGATATAAGGTATATGTTTACAAATATTCTACATTATATGTATTCATTTTATATCAATACACTCAAATATTTGAATAACTTTTTTTCAGTTTTTTGCTACAGGTGTTGTTGGAATGTTTGCAGCATCTAAGAAGTCAAATGGTTTGGTAAGAAAGTACTACACAACTGTCCAGTGTTAAAATGGATTGAACTATGTGTAGGGGAGTTGGAAAAGGAGATTTATATGTGAATTATTAAGTTAAGCATTAAAAGTTGTCATAGTCCCCCTGGCCTCAGGTAGGTGAAATGTAAATCTTACCGAGCAGGCCACTGATTTTTATTTTGTTTGAGGTTGATTTACTTAAATCTACACCTTGCCAGTTTAAATTATAGGCAAAAACTTGAGTAAAAATTACTGTAAGTATTTAAATATCAGTAGAAATGCATGAAAGAAAATTTTTAGCTTTGAAATGTGTGTGGTTAGGAATTTTGACCGGTAACTCTTAAGAACAACTGATCAAAAACGTAAGTATATCTGATACTAAATATCTAGTTACTTCTGTTGGGGATGAAGGAGGGGGTGCTTTCCTTTTTTTAGGGCTAAAAACTGTTGGCCAGCATTATGGGCGGCCAAAAGGGCAAAAATTCATGTCGTCGATTCAGTTATGTTTCGTCGATTCACTGCCTTCCCATCGATTCAGTTTCAAGTTTAAACGATCCTGTCATAAATTCAACATCTACTTTCGTCAATTCAATTGTCAAACATTTCTCATCTATGGTGTATTAAAACCAATGCTGTCACTATTTTCGTCGATCGTGTAACTAATCTCGTCGATCGTCAAACTGTTTTCGTCGATCGTTTAACTATTCTCGTCGATCGTCTAATCTCGTCGATCGTGTAACTATTCTCATCGATCGTCTCATCGATCGATCGCCAGAGGGCGCTGCGGTAGCAACACGTGCTTCTGTCTGTCAATCACGCGGTAATTTTTAACTCGGCCAGCCATGGTCAGAGTTAAGCACAACTAGAAAATAATGTCCCTACAACCGAATATCTTTTAATTATTAACAACTAAAATTGAAATTGTTGAGAAAATGTTCTTATTTCACTAGCAATCATTTTGTTGTCTGCCATTTTGATAGTCATGTGATAGGCCAATGTGCTACCGCAGCGCCCTCTGGCGATCGATCGATGAGACGATCGACGAGAATAGACGATCGATGAGAATAGTTACACGATCGACGAGATTAGACGATCGATGAGAATAGTTACACGATCGACGAGATTAGTTGGACGATCGACGAGATTAGACGATCGACGAGAATAGTTACACGATCGACGAAAATAGTGACAGCATTGGTTTTAATACACCGTAGATGAGAAATGTTTGACAG